AATCAAGATAGCCCAGTACAGACAGTTTGATAAGAAGTGTGAGAATACTTACATGGGGAGATAGATTCAATGTTTGTAATGACTCGCCTGATTTCACAAAGTCTGAGACGGAGTTGGAAATAGAATCCCAACTTTCTGACATTTAGTTCTGTGCTCTTAACCAAAAGACTTTCCTTCTCCAATGAATGGGAGACCATTTGGGAATTAGCGAGTAAACAAATAAACGTGGTAAACCTTGTATCACAAAATCAACTTTCCTCTGAGAAGCACTGAGATCCACAGAGAAGCACAACAGAAAAAGCGAAGTATCGCCGTGCTTGACATTTTCATGGACTGATTGGTTACAAGGCATCCTCCCAGATACTACAATTCTGGATGCTTCAGAGAGATTAAATCTTCCACCTGAGACAGCTCTCAATGGTCATTAGGTCTATTGTAGCTATACAAACATTTCCTGAATCAACCAGGAGCAAGGTATTCATCCCAACGGGCTGGGGCTTCGTGTTATTTCTTTCACTTCTTAGGGCTTGGCTACACTTGCGAGTTACAGTGCAATAAAGCAGCCCCGGGCGCACTAGCTCACCCCCCGTCCACACTGGCAAGGCACGTAGAGCGCTCTGACTCCACGGCTACAGCGCTGCTGGTACTCCACCTCGGCGAGTAGAATAACGTTTGCTGCCCCCCCTGCTGGAGCGCCACGGCACCAGTGTGAACGAGGTGTTGCATTACTGCGCTCTGATCGGCCTCCGGAAACATCCCATAATCCCCTTAAGTCAAATGGCCACTTGTCATTGTTTTGAATTCGCTGTGGGAATGCTGTAGGAATGCAGATATGCCCTTTCAAAGCTCTGTTTCTGACAGCTGGCTGCTTATCTGCTCCGGCAGTGAGAGGGAGGCGGGGGAGAGGGGGAGGAGGGAGGTCTACTGCTGTCTGAACTTACAAGACAGCATGCTGACATGCTCTCAGCCCCCCAAAAACCCACTCTCTCCCCCCACATACACACAACACGCTTCCTGTCACACTCCACCCCACCCCCCACATTTGAAAAGCACGTTGCAACCACTTGCATACTGGGATAGCTACCACAATGCACTGCTTTTTGTGGCATTGCAAGAGCTGCTAATGTGGCCATGCCAGTGCGCTTCCAGCTGAGAGTGTAAACACGCAGCAGCGTTTTCCCTGCTGTGGTTGCTGAAGGCTGGTTTAACTCCCAGTACTCTACAACTGCAAGTGTAGCCAAGACCGTAGACAATTCCTTCTGATCCATTTGAAACCTGTGTTCTGTTTCATTCACTGAACAGCTAAATTTCCAGTCTTTGAGATGACATAATCAGCATGAGCAAATGGGGAACACACAGGAGCCTTAACCATTCATCCCCTCCATCTTCAGATACATCCCAGGGAGCTAACTTTGCCAACCCACCATTAGAGAGACATGGTTGGTTGGGTAAGATCTTGTATTGGTTCACCACAGAAGTTGGTCTAATAAAAGATATTACCTCACCCACCTTGTCTCTGTAATATCCTAGGACCGACACAGCTACAACACTGCATCCAACCCACCATTGGCATTTCGTGCAAGTTGTCAAGATCCCGCATCATTGGAACAGGTGTATTAATAGAATCAACAACCAGAGACAGAAAAAGAACATTAGGATAGTTACAAACACCAAAGTTACGAACTGACCAGTCAAACATATGCCTCATTTGGAACCGGAAGTACACAATCAGGCAGCAGCAACAAAAGATAAATAAATAAATAAAT